AGTGCCTGCTTCTCCCGTGGCGATTGGGTGGGAACTGGTCTGTATGGGGGATCCGAACCCTCGGTGGGTGCGCCACCGCGCTCCCAAGCAGCGCACTATAGCAGTGCACCACCGGGCCGGCCCACACAGCATGAAGTTTTTCAAATTTAGATTAAAGTACTATCTTATTAATAGCAGTGCGCCACCGGGCCGGCCCACACAGCATGAAGTTTTTCAAATTTAGATTAAAGTACTATCTTATTACCTGAAAAACTCTTCCAACTTATTGCATTAAAATAGCCAATTTATTATAGTCATTTAATTGCCAATGACAGTATTCTGACAACTGTGTTGAAATATTATTGGAGTGTCTCCCAAATGAATTTGACTCACGTTTTAGAATAAATACAGAACCCTCAGGCCTAGAACCATAATGAAGCTTGTATCTGAAATGAGTTTCATATCCAAAGATATTAACAATATAAGGGTAAATTATATAATAAAGCCTTGTGGCAATAAATGTAAGATAGCCTGGAAAGTCTGAAGAATAAGCTCAGGATCAAAATTCTGTGTATCTAAAGTCACAGACATACTTGGTTTATTAAGAATTTCTAAAAAATAAATGTGTTTATTGAGCATTTGCACTGTATAAGTGCACTAAGGTCATTGGTTAACTGAAAAAGGAACATAAATTTCAAGGTTCATCTGAGGCCTAAAGTATAGGCCCACAATCTTAAAAGTATAATTCTGAATTCTTCTGGGCATAGATGTTACTTGTATGGGAGACTGCAGTGGGACTTTCTTGGGCAGGGAGGATGGAAAACATGCTTCAGTTGGATCCCAGGAATATAGCCTCAGCCTCAAGACTTAATAGCAGCAACTGATGAGACTGGCATTATATAATGAGTCAGATCATTTGTTTTAAGGGTGAACTTCAGGATGTATTTATGAAATGAAAATCTCTAGCTAGTTTTCTAGAAAACCTTATACTTGGAAAAAATTAATCAATTAACATATTAATTCATTTAACCCAGTAAATATGTAGTAATATTAAGTCCATACATAGAAGATAACACGTGTGTACACACACATGCTTAAATGCATATTTGAGACTTACATTGTGCCAACTAGTAGTTATGTGCTCTAGAACTGTGGTCAACAAGCATTTCTGTAAAGGATCAGAGAGAAAATATTTTAGCCTTTGCAGGCCAAGAGGCCAAACCAAGAATTTTAAGTAGATATTTGAAAGAAGAGAGAAAACAAATCTCTACAATTTTTTATCAACAAAATTCAAAGATATTATTTAGTATGTGGGTTTCTTAAATATGAATCTACCAATAAGAAGAATGAAAATTCTCTTGGGGAGGATAACATTTCTCTTAATTGGAGTCCAAAGTTGGTGTTCCCTATCATCAAATTGATTGTAAATATTCGTCTGTAAAAACTATTCTTAGGTCATGGGCCATACAAAAACAGGCGATGGGTGGAGTTGGCCTTCATCATTTGCCAACCAATTCTTCTTAAACTATGTGTGAGGAAGCGTCAGTTTTATTTCACAACCGTTACAGATCAGTGCTTTTGTAAAATACACAATCATGCACTTGGGTATCATCGCAAAGTCAAATTGCTATAAAAGTTTCTTAATGCTTACTCTTAACTTGCTGTGCTTATCTCAAACTGGTAACAAAATATTTTGCAAATCAGCGCCGTTCCATGGACACCACTGAGTAGCATTACCCTAAGGGTTTCAGAGATAGAAAATAGAAACAAACCAATTACTTTCCATAGTGTCTATAATAAAAACCATTGTTGGGTCAAATGGTTTTGTTTTCTTTTTAGCCAATGATTTATATATTAGGAAGCAAAGCACAAAACTATAAATGGGTCTACAAACATTTATTGCCACAAAAATGTTTTTAAGTATTTTCATGCACTAGGACAGAGATTGCTGGTATTTACCTTTACTATTACATTCTTACATGGCTGAAGTCGGCATGGTGATTAAAAGTTCAAGCTCTAGATCCAGGCTGTCTGGGTTCCAGTCCCAGCATAGCCAATTACTAAACATGTGATCTTGAGAAAAAGCTATTTAAACTCTCAGCCTCAGAGATTATGAAAGTACTAACCTCTCAGCATTGATGTGAGGATTAAATGTTTCTAGCTAAGAAAAGTGCCTACATAGTAAGGAGTCAATAAAGATTTAACTCTATTTAAAGTCAAGTTCTGGGGCCGGCCCGGTGGCACACTGCTACAGTGCGCTGCTTGGGAGCGCGGCAGCGCTCCCGCCGAGGGTTCAGATCCCACATATAGACCGGCCGCTCACTGGCTGAGCGAGGTGCGGGCGCAACACCGAGGGTTGTGATCCCGTTGCCGGTCCCCGGTCCGGTACGGGCGCAACACTGAGGGTTGCGATCCGTTGCTGGTCATGAAAAAAGACAAAAAGGAAAAAAATAAAATAAAATAAAATAAAGTCAAGTTCTGATAATATAAAGACAAAATTGACAAATAGTTTTTCCATGTTAGTGATAGAATGTTTAAACAATAATTGCAAATGAATCTATCTTGGACAATCCAAAGAGACATTTTATATAAAGAGATTGTATTTTATGAATATTTCCCTTAAGGTGAATTACTTCTCAGTCTATTTGTTTTGTGTTCATTTTCTGTCTCTCCTTTTTCTAGATTGAATCAGCCGAAGTATCTGGAAACAGCGTGGTGTGCAGCTTTCTTCAGTACATGGAGAAGTCAAAACCGTGGCAGAAAGCTTGGTGTGTGATCCCCAAGCAAGACCCTCTTGTGCTGTACATGTATGGTGCCCCCCAGGTATCTAAGCCACATCTGTCTGATGGGACAGAGGGAGGCGAGTGGACAATGAACTCAGTCCTTCCATTGCTCCTCTGTAGAACCAGAGAGCTCAGGCAATGTTGCGATTCATTAAAATTGAAAAAAACAATTAAAATTCAAGTGTTGTCTAAGCTCAAAAATTCACTTTATGGCCAATATTTCCTTCATTCTGTGGATCATTTGTCTCCTTCCTTCCTATTCAGTGGGTTTGAGAAAAGGTGAATTGAATTAGGAAAAAGCATAGTGAGAAGAAGGAGAAGCGAGAGGGGGAAAAAAACCTTTTTTGAGAGAAAACATTAAGACTGGGTTTTTTTGAGAACCGTGTGTGCATGGATCTCAGCTAGATGTATGCGAACAACTGAGGTGCAGGTTTTGCTTCTAACAAGGGCAGCACCCGCTACTATGGATGTGTTGTGCTTAAAAGTCAAATATACAACACTTAAACCAATTATGTATTTAACTTGAAAATTTTAAATGTGCTTGTATTGTAGCCTACATCTACGTTAAAGGCTAGTAAAATTTGTTTTATAAATAGTCTAAAAATGCCAAAGTATATACAAGTATTTTATTCTACTTCATTGTTTTTCCTATAACTTTTTCCCTGTTCATAGATAAATCGATGCATAAATGAACCATTAAATAAAACTGCCTTCAGTAATGAACTCATCATTAATGCCTGCTGCTTTTATACAATAAAATAGTGATTATTTTCTTCCCTTTTTTGCTGAGTGGCCTCCCTCACAGACAGTCGGTGTAGCATTGAGTCGTAGGTGACTTGGATGTCAGAGCTTTTATTCACTAATTCATTCAGCCAGCAATATCAGTGGCCTCAAGTACAGGCACGGTGCTGCACACAGAGATTACCCTCTGTGCCCATGGAGAGCTCACAGTGTGAGTCTGTGTGGGCCAGTGGTAGGAATAGAGGTTTAGTAGGAGCAAGGGCTACATGTAGCAAGCTAACACATCTCACATTCATGTGGGCGATGTTTTTATCCTTAGGATGTCCGAGCCCAGGCCACCATTCCGCTCCTGGGCTATGTTGTGGACGACATGCCACGGAGTGCAGACCTGCCACACAGTTTCAAACTGACCCAGTCCAAATCTGTGCACAGCTTTGCTGCAGACAGTGAGGAGCTGAAACAGAAGTGGCTGAAAATCGTCCTTTTAGCTGTCACAGGTGAGACACCAGATGGTCCAGATGAGCATCCGGCCACCTTGGACGATCATCCTGAACCTAAGAAAAAACTAGAATGCTGAACTCCAGGACCAACCAAAGGGTGGTGGTCTCAGGACATTCCTAGCTCTCCTTACTGATCTCTTAGCACTTTATGTTGAAAAATATAGGCTCATAAATGCATCTTTTGGGGACTATTTTCCTATGTTTATGTACTCAGTGAAATTAATGTGCAGAGCCATTCTACCGATAAAGTTTTGAAATGTGTTAAAAATGGAGCATTTTTTATGAGCGATTCTTTAAATATGTACTTTTGTCTTGAAGAAAATGGTGTCAATTGATTCTATCACTATCAGGTTAGAACAGGCCACTTTAACTTAAGAAGTCCTTTAATGTCTTCTCTTTCACAAGTAGCACCTATAACAGTTTGAAAGATATACCTCCATGTTGCCAAAATAGATCCATGGTGAAAAATACAGGGACAGTTTAGTCTATTATATAAACTTATTTAATTAAGTTTAAATCTCAAGCTGCATAAATGATGTTATAAAAGAAAGTACAAATTGTTGTTCCGACTTTTGACTTATTAAGAAAAGATATTGGTGGTTTTTGTAGAAATATTCCTAAGAATATAATATCTTAAGTATATCAACTATGTGTATAGTATTAAAGATAAATATATATATACACTGTTTATGCTTTTCTCCTCAGCTTTAGGTTCACATTCATCTCTAATTTATTTTTGAAATATAAAGCATGTTTTATCCTGGAATTGAGCAGTGTTCTAAACTTAAATGTTTTTGGTGATTTATGTTTAATTGATTGGCATTTAAGGGTATTGATATTTTTATAATAAGAAAAAGCAGTGATTTATGTGGCATGGGATATATTACTGAATTCCAACAGTATTTTTAGAGTACTATTTTTTGTTCTGTGCCTATTTAAAACAGTGCCTCTCTTAGAAGGTGCTATTAATACCTATTTCAATATGAGGGTTTAGTTAATGCATCAGTCTGGATTATTCTAAGGTACAGTGCATTTTGGTCACTGGGCTGGTCAAAGTCATACAGATTATTTTACCTTTTAGAGTCCTATAATTGTTGCAGTAGTTAACATCAGCACATACAAAAATTTTCACCAAAACCTGTACTGTATAAGACACCTGACCTTTCACAGGACTGGGACATGTAGAAACAACATTTATCGTAATGTTTTTCTTTTCCATAAGACTGTTAAGCCTGGTTAAATGAGGGCTATACATAATGAACATTTAAGACAACTGTGTAGGCCCATTCCTTTGTCAGATATGAAAATAAATTTCACATGTGATAACCTATGTTTTGGGGCAGGAGGTGGTAGAGAGATTTAAAAAAAGTTTATGCTCAACCACCTCACCAAAGAAGGCGGGAAAACACAATATTGAAAAGCAATATTTTAATGGCAGATTTTCAGGAGATACAAATACTTGAAGAGAGTGTGAGAATTTTCCCCCTTTTATCCCTGGGAAATTTTAATAGACAAAATGTGATTCCTTGTCACGAAGGCTGCTTATTTTATTGTACGTGATTAAAATCTCACATTAAATTGACTAATTCTTTTCTCAGATCTTTTTTCTTTATACTTTCATACCCCATATATTATCACTTTTTAATATACTAGTCTGCTAGAAATCCACAAGAATGACCCTACTATCCTCAGTCTTTAAGGATTACACCCTAAATATAGAATAGATTTACTCAGAATTTGAGATCCCCACCTATTTATTCAAGTCCTGTTACTTTAAGAAATATCTTTTTTTTTTTCCTACCCCAAAGGAACAAATGAACCAATTATGGCTGACAATTAGGTTCTCTTCCTCTATAAAAGGAATACCAGGCATGATCATTAACATTAAACCAAATACTTAGAGCCAAAAAGAGATAAAGGTAGCCTCTTAGGCCCTATTAATTAGGGACAGACTAAAATTTTGCAATGCTCCTCTTTTCTAGTTGCCAACTGCGTGTGTATGTAGCATGTGTTCAGGGTGATTATTGAGATAGTCAAACTATAGCTGTAGACTATGCTTTGGTTTCCTTAGTCTCGAGAAAAGAGAAGCAATAAAAATGTTGGATGATTATCAGGGGATGATGACTTTTGTAAATGTGGATAGAACAATGGAAATGTGTGGGCCATTTAGAGATTTGAGTCAGATTATTTTTGAAAACTATTTTGAGGAGCAAGAAGACTACACTTTCCCTACCATTAAGTTCTGGAACAGAAGTAACATGGGCACACTCAAGTTTTAGCTCAGTAAATGCTGATGTTATTTCATCTAAGTTAAATAACAAGTTAAATTTAATTTAGATTATTGAAAGAATACTTAGAATATTGAAAGGAGAATATCATGCTCTTAATTCATTATCTTTGATTTTTTTTTTTAATGAGAAATATTAGTACTAGAAGAGAATTTCTGGTTATTTAGTCACCAGCCTCACTTTCCACCCCTCATTTTTCACCTAAATACAAAGAGAAAGTAGTGAAGCAGCCTCACCCATTTCTCTTCTATTAAAAAAATAACTAATGCTTCTACTTGGAGAAAGGTAAAGGAATACTCTTAGCCATTAAGAAAACTCACCTGAACCAAAATACTTCAAAGTGTGATTGGTTGGAATAATCAGTGTCTTTTCCTTTCTGAGACACCTGAGCAGTTATGACAAATAGAACCTAAAATAATTATTGGTTGCATTCCTATTAAAACCAACATTCCATATGGGTCTTAACTCTTTATTTTCTCTAATTTGGCACTTTCCAAGTCATCTTTTCTTTAAAATGCCCTTCCTCCAAACTTAAATACTTTTGATAACATTCCAATTTTTTAAACTTAAATTTTGCTTTTGTTGAAAGTCTACCATTTGGTATGTTACATGTGAAATGTAGTGCAGACTTTTATCTCCAGGTTTTAAGTGGGGCTTAATAACAAAATCGCCACCAGCCACTTTTGTAATAATGGCATTTCTAA